TTTCGCGTGTATTAATAAAAAATTTTCTTGGCGAAAGTGATCGGCGTGAACATTGTGAACGCGCACATGTATTTTTTATTTGAAATTAAAGGCAATGAATAATAAAAACATTTTTCAAGACGTGCACAGTAAAAATCCTTTTCCAAACATTTGCAATAAAGTTATATAAATTAATATCAGACATGCAAGATCAAAGAGATAAGCCTAGAGACCTATCCGAAATAGATTTATTGAAACAACGAATCATTGATCTCGAGACTGAAAATGCCGAAATTCCTGAACTTAAGAAGAAATTACTGAAATTTGACGAAATTGAGGCTGAAAACAAAAGGCTGAGACAGATCATTGAAGAGAATTCTAGACGTGATGCAGAGTTTAAGAGCAGAATTGAGGAGTTAGAAAAAAGTAGAATAGATACTGTTTCCGAGAATGCTAAGCTTAAAACTGAAGTAGCAAAATTAAGACATGATTTTGAGGAAATCAAATCAAAGGGAATAACCATTGATTCTCCAGAGCAATTACCTAAACAGATAGGCTTACGATGTAATGATACTCCTGCATCTGATATAACTAATAACACTTCAAATTCTGATGTATGCCAGGAGTCATCGTCCCAATATCCCGCATCACCTATTTGCACAGAGGCTAAATCATCAGAGGACAAGGAGGTGGATGTATTTCATGACTTAATATTTAATGAAAGGGTTAGAAAAGAGAAGAAACTTCGAGATCAAGAGGTATCTTCGGGGAGACAAGACACTTTAGAAGAATTGATGTCCTCTCATTCACCTTCTACCAATAATAACGTGAGCCAGCTTCCAGCTGAAGATTCTAATCCTAAAGTAAAACTTTCTTATTCAGGGCCTGTTGCAGAGCAACGCCATTACCATGACAAATCACCGGAAGACAAAGCAATTGACAAATTCCTAGATTCAGAGTATAGAGAAACGGTTAGTAAAAAGATAATTCAAAATATTAAGGAGAAAAAACTTCGAGATCAAGAGAAATTCATAACTTCCCAGGATACTATCCCTAATATTTCTTCCGAAATAAAAATTCCCTATAATTAGAAAGTAGAACAAGGTTTAATAACTGAATTGCTTGAATTCATTAAAAGCAATGACGCCACAATCCCACAAAATTCGTATTCTATATCTGGAAAACAAATTTTTGATTTATTTAAGAAAAATATGACATATGTGGGTGATTTAACTATAGGTACCACACCTTACCTAGCACATTTATTCAATAAGGCTGAAAAAACTAGTAGGAAGGAAAAATTACAATGGTATTACTATAGTGAGGAATACGAAAAAAAGGTCAAAACTATTAGTTTGGAAAACAATATTAGCGATCAAATAGTAAGAACACAAATTTATGACGAGATGGTGCCATATCTACCTGGTATTAAGAGAGAGTATTTACGCAAGATGACCCAAAAGGCTAAAAACATTTATACTTTGTTTAAAAGAATAGGTATAGACAAAATCGGGTTAATCACATATAGTGCTGATGCCATTTCTAGGCTAACAGATACACAAGTTCAAAATATAATAAAAGTTTACACAGATGAATTTGCCAAGTCTCAAAAATTGATTGGCATGAACAATTGCGAACACGCATGTAATCTACCAGCGACTAAATCTCAAATTTCTGACTTAAAAACAAAGATTTTATTGGAAACCAAGATTAGTATGCCAGTTAAACCTCAAGCATCTAATGCCTCTTCAAACTTGAAAACTGAGGCGAGTATATCATTCATGTCACCACCCGAGACAAAGACCCTACCTAGAAAACAGATTAATCTAACTCGTGATTGTACCTATTTCTGTAATAAAACATTAAAACAATATCCTAATTTATATCGAGATGGTAGTAGTGAAAACGAAGATTATTACAGAATTACTGATGAATCATTATGTCCATTATGTAAGTTAAATCATGACAAAGATAGAATAGAAGGCAGATATGAAGTTGGATCCTACTATATTAAATGTAAACAGCGTGAAATTGAAATTGAGGTAACAGCATGAACTTTAAACTTATACTAGCACAATTCGCTTAAATTTTCTGAGCCATATTTGTTTTTTTGTTGGTTATTGTTAATTTAGAAAGATGTGTAGTCATATACATAAAACAGGAACATGAATACACAAGCAAAAGCTAATAAAACATTGACTCCTGAATATTTGGAATGGGAAGCTAAATTAATAGAATTGCCAGGTATTTTGACAGATAAAATTCGTTCTAGGTTATATAAAAGGTATAAGAATAAAACTGGATTCGATCCCTAGATAAACTCCGAAACTTCTGAATCCTTACAAATTGAAGAGAGTAATTATATCTCACAAGATTATATTATCAAGATTTCCAAGTTTCTGAAAGAGAAAGGTATAATCCGTGAAACAATACATAAATGCTTCCCTTTCTTGTCATATACTAAATCGAATGCATAGTACTGAGATGTTTTTAAACATACAGATCTGGAAGCTAAATGTCTGATATGCAAAGAAGTACATACTCATTTAGGCATATGGGGTGACTGGAGCTGTCTAGGTAAAAATGATCACTATTTTCTTAATTGCCCTTTTCGTATTGATCAAAAGAAGTTATTAATTGCTTTGCAGGCTTAGATAAACATCATTAGTAGATCATGGTTTAACATTAATAAAAATCTAAATAACAGTATAAATAGTGACCAATACTCATTTACACGATCGCATAAAAATAAAAAATAACAAGCCCAGCAGACTCCCTCTTTATTTCATAAAAAATTGTTGTCAAACAGCAATATAACATACAAATAAAAAATAAATAATAAATTTTTTTCTGATTATTCATTAAGAATCATAATCATCCTGATCACTACAATCGGCATCACCAGTTGAATACCACATATAACTATCAAGAGAATGGTCAACCTTATCTCTATATCCGTAATAATGCAAAATTGGCTTATCGGAGATATGATCTATTTTGAATAGAAAAGAAAACTAAGTCCCTGGTGATTGTATTTACACAATGTAAACTTTACTTACAAGATCTGGGACTATATGTTCTAGGTACATAACCTACTGGGATAACAACCCCTGAGGCGTTAGAATCATTAGTCGTGAGGGCATTGCTATCATTGGTCTTGGGGGTGTTACTATCATTAGTCATGGAGGTGGTGGTGTTATTACTCGTGGTGGTTGCGTCATTAGTCTTGGGGGTGTTACTATCATTAGTTATAGAGGTGGTGATGTTATTACTCGTGGTGGTTACGTCATTAGTCTTGGGGGTGGTGTTGGTGTTATTAGTTGTGAGGGTGGTGGTTTTATTAGTACTGCTTATTTTTCGTTCCTAAGAACAAAAAAAAAATCATAATAAGTAAAAAATTCATTTTCATAGTCTCCAATAAACGAAATAGCAAATTACCTAAAAAATACGGTGCAAGAGAATTAAGAAAAAAATATATGAGCAAAAAAATAACGTTATTGCTAACTTATCTTAAGGTAGAAACATGCTTATTTTTATACTTCACATTCGTTAGATCTAGAGAACCTGTCAGAAAAAAAATCACAAGCTTAGTAATTACGTTACCCTAACACAATACCATATCACACTTAACAAAGCAACTCCGCTCGGTCATAAGTTCAAAACACTGAGCCTATTTTGTTATTTTTTCTGGTAAACTTAACCCCTTAGATTCGACGATCGCTTAAGGTGGGTTTAGATCTGACGATCTGGGAATTCCAAGTACCTGCAACATATGAATTTGGACCAAACTACTGATTAAGAAAATTATACGTATTACCCTTATAACCTTTTTAAGTCTCATTCTTGTCGCAGGATCTTATATAATAAAAAAATGGTCTAGATATAATTCATAATATTCGTTATAAATCAAAAAATTGACCGTGAGAAATGATTCTGCAGGAGAGTGTTACAAAACCTTATATCTAATTTTGTGCGACTTGTTGAAGTACTGTTTAGAATAGGCGAAATATAAGATCCATTATGCTAAATTTGTAATACAAATGTTCATTGGATTTTGAATATTCGGTCTAAAAAAATCGTGATCGAACTTGTACCATACGTACCCATTGTGTTAAAATAAAGCATATATGTTTGCAGATATCAGTGTATTACTGTATTGCTTATTGTTATTCAAATTAACTGATACCAGATTATATCATGTATAGTGAGGATTAAGTGATTCAGCAAATAATAATCCACCTACCAATTTTTCAAACATGAATGGCATAGGTGGAAACTTTGATAAATAGGCCAGAAGCAAAGGATACATCCATATTCCTAGTTTTAACGTTAAATGTGATGCTAAAGGTTATCTTGTCTCGGCTAATCCTCGAGATCCTGACTATCATAATCAAGAAAATCCAACTAAAAATCCAGAAAAAGTTGCCGATGCTGAACACAATCCTTATGGCTATACAAAAATCCCTCAAGCACCTTGGGGAACCCATTGGCTTTATCAAACTTCTTCTGTTGGATATGAACAGGTTGATATTTACACGGAGGACCCAACATTCAATGGGTTTCAATCCAAACCAATCAATAGTAATACTTGCCTAAATATTCATAATTTTAGAACTAGTCGATTATCTCCCTGTGCACGACATGCTCAACAGGAAATAACAAAAATGGATGCACCATTTATTTTCACTAACGTTAACATGAAAGTTTGTTGCGACCGTCAAGTTTCTATTACTATTGATTGTAGTATTTTTCCCAGACCCATCTTTACATTGATGGAAAAATGGTTAGTAAACGAGAACAGACTGATCTTGGCAAGTTTATCCAGTCTGGGGGCAGTCAGCCAGATCCTTCTAAATTATCTAAGGCTGGTCACGGAAAAATTGCTCATTCTGGTAAATCATTAACATATAATAAAAAAGTGCAAAAACGCAGGCAAATTTGCCTGTGTTGGTCTACATATTAAGAGATAATGAAGTATAAAAAAAATGTTAAATAAATTATAAGCGTCTATGTTGAGAGGCACCCCTTTTATTAGAAAATACAATTATAACTAAAGGTATAGTTACTCCAACACGTGTTAATTTATCAATTTGTCAAATATTTTTTTATCACGGCATTGTATGTTGCAAAATATAACTTGACGATTTAACACTTTGCGATTACAGAGTGCACTTTCTAAAAAATAGTAATTCGTCAAAACAATGGTTAGCACGTTGCTTTATTTGACATTATATAATAGACATAGAAATTTTCTAACAAACAATTGTGTGTTTACTAAATTCGGCACCACAATTATTGAACACGATAGATCAACCAACAATTATACATTTTCTATATTTGGGATTGCATTGTTGCATTGTTAATACGTAACCTGTTGAGAGAATAGCCAAATTTAGTATAACAAAATTTATATCTTAACCGGATCTACACAAGTATAAGAATTATGCTGTTTTCGAAAAATCTGATATCACATAGATTCGTGATTTTTTTTGGTTTGTCCTTTCTTGTAAACAAATTTTAGCTCGAAAATGAATATCATTTCACGATATTCAGATCCAATATATAAAAAAATGATACTGTAAATTATGTAATCTGCTTCTTGTACAATAAATTTTATATTTGTTACTTTTCCGAAGCTATAGCAATACAATTCTATTTATTATTATCAGAAATAAAGATAGAATATACATATATATTGTAGAGTGAAATATAAAAATATAGAGCTATTCTCAATATATACCAAATGAATAAAACTGAAAATAAATACTTCCCTTATTGTATTATGCCGGAATTACCTTTTTAACTTTTTTATTATATGTTAATGATTTACCAGAATGAGCAATTTTTCTGTAACTAGCCTTAGATAATTTAGAAGGATCTGGTTGACTGCCCCAGACTAGATAAACTTGCCAAGATCAGTCTGTTCTCATTTACCAACCATTTTTCTATCAATGTAAAGACAGGTCTGGGGGGAAAATACTACGATCAATAGTAATAGAAATTTGATGGTCACAACAAACTTTTATGTTAACGTTAGTGAAAATAAATGGTGTATCCGTTTTTGTTATTTCTTGTTGAGCACGTCGTGTACAAGGAGATAATTGACTAGTTCTAAAATTATGAATATTCAGACAAGTATTACTATTGATTGGTTTGGATTGAAACCCATTGAATGTTGGGTCCTCCATGTAAACATTAGCCTGTTCATATCTAACAGGACAAGTTTGATAAAGCCAACGGTTTCCCAAGGTGCTTGAGGGATTTTTGTATAGCTATAAGGATTGCGTTCAGTATCGGTGACTTTTTCTGGATTTTTAGTTAGATTTTCTTAATTATGATAGTCAGAATCTTGAGGATTAGCCGAGACAAGATAACCTTTAGCATCACATTTAACATTAAAACTGAGAATATGGATGTATTCCCTGTATTCTTTGCTTTTGGCTCATTTATCAAAGTCTTCACCTATGCCGTTCATGTTTGAAAAATTGGTGGGTGGATCATTATTTGCTGAATCACTTAATCCTTTACAAGCCGTAAATGAATGATATTCATCTATTTCTACCACATCTTCCAATTGTTAGTCACAATAGTCATAGAAATTTAGATTATTTTTAATGTAAAAGATGGTGAGAATGTCTGGTGTTTGAAAAATAACCACGTTCCTTGATAATGCACCTTGAAACAAGGTAATTAAAATGATGAAAACTTTAAGCATGACTGCTTTTGATGATTAAAATTAATACTGTATAACTGTCTGATATGCAAAGTTCTAAGAGTAAAAAAAACTTAATATAATAATTTGTTGGTTTATTTCCAATTTTATGAATTCATTTAAAAAGAATGAGTGTTATACGTATTTGTTCAGAAATCCACTCTCAAGTATTTAATAGAAAATATGTGTGCAAGAAAACATAATCTAGATATTCCTCTTACAACAAACCACATAAAAAAATAATTTTTTTTTTTTTTTTTAATTTTTAGGGGATACCCCGGGTGTAGCACCCGCCCCAAACTTTTATTAATACTTAAGTGAAT